TTTTCACTAAGGGTTTAGCAACTATGGTTCATTCACAGGATGTGCCAACTATTTTCAGATGGTAAAGGCTTCTTCTCTTGCTGTGTTGACAAAAATCCCAGGCTGAATCAAGCCTGTGATGATCTCTACAATCTATTAGTAATGTCTGCCATGGAAGCAAGAGGGGCTGATATCATAAATATAGCATTTCTAGACTAGACAGACCAATTCCACAAAACAAGATCTCTTTGAGTACTTGTTCTCTCCTCCCTCCCCTATCATTTTAGCTAAACATAAGTGAGAGGATTGAGAAGTCCAAGAGTGGTCAAGTATGTTCTTACTGGAGTAAATTCTGGGCCCTGGACACCTATGTGCTCACTTTTTCAAGTCTCCTAATAGGAAACGTATGGCTAGGACAGCTGGGTGTCAGTGGGTCTTCTCTGAGTAGCTGTCTGCAGTAACCTGTGGCGGTTGTGGGAACCAGGCTCTGCAGGACACTGGCCTGATAGATTTATTAGGCAGAGGTAAGAGATGCCCTTTTGTCACTAAACTTTATGGGGGTATGTGACCACAGAGCCAGGGGGAAATAGAGAACATTTTGGCATTTGGTGATTGTAGGCCAAGAGAATCCTAACACAGCTCATCCCACCGTATCAGCCCTCAGGGTGCTCCTGAGAAGAGCTCTTATCACCCTAGGCTAAGAAAGAGGACACACTGGGCCAGAGGTGGAAGGAAACTCACTACGTGCCTATTCTCTGGTCTCTACAACCTTCAGGGCTTGCTGGTTGTTTGGCCTCCCGGCTGGAAAGAACTCTAAAGTCCAGCCTTTGTATGCTATGTATGAGGCCCAGGATGGGAGTGACATTTGCCCAAGGTCACACAGCAAGTGAGTGGCAAAGCTAGGACATGAACGCAAGGCTCCCGGTGCAGTGCAATGTCTTGCTCTCTCCTTTACACTTTGATATTCTGAACACTTGCTAATCCTTGAGAGGCATGGCACATTTATCCAAATGCCCCTCTATTTGAAACCTTTACCTGGCTTTTTTGGGAGAAAGAACAAACTCCTGAACAGGGCTCACCATAGATATCATGATCTGACCTCTGATAAACTCTCTAGCCTTGCTTTTTCCTTATTCCCTCTCACCTTGAACTCTCTGCCCCAGTGAGATTTATCCTTCTTGACTGAAGTATATTCTCGTCCCCAGCCTGCTCTTCTTTTTTGGCAGTGGATGGTCCTGATGAGAACAGCTTCCCCCTCCACCTGCAGGACTCCTGTTTGTCCTTTGATGCTAGGCATCAACTTCATTTCCTTCTCCAGGGATCCTTCCTCGAGCTCCAGGTCTGGGTTAGCTGGACCAGCTATCCACATCCGGAAACCGTGTTACTCCAGTGTGCTTTTGGGACCAGCAGCATTAGCATCACCTGAGAGCTTGTTAGAATGCAGAAGCTGAGGCCCATCCCAGACCCCCAAGTTAGTTTGAATTTTAACAAGGCTCCGTGGTTCTCAGACACAGTAAAGTTTGAGAAGCACTGCTATAAAACATACTTCCTGCCTTCCTTTTACAGCGTGCTTCTTGTGACATGTTTCCTGCAACTGCCTGCTGGCCGGCCTTTTCCTCACTAGGTGTTGGATCTGCTGCTTTACTCATATGTTTTCAGGTGCAGCACAGAGCCTAGCACATAATAAGAACATTAGATGAATCAATGAATCAACAAGCTAACAAGATGAAGTCTCCTCAAGTTTCTTAATATTTGCAAGGACAATGCATTTTGTGGGGGATGCATTTTTGAGCTAGAAAGACCTTAGAGTTTGTGGAATTCATTTGTTTCCAGCTGTGATCTATAGATACCTGATAGCTCAGAGAAACCTGAGCTGAGACCCTTGAGATTGGGGGGGTTTGAAATGGAGACCCAGCAGAGGGGGCTCCAGGCCACCCACTCTAGCTTCTACTAGAACAACTCTGTAACTCTCTGATCCACACATTCACTCATCTCACTATCTAATTATTCAACAAGTAACTATTTAGCACCTACCTACAAGAGTGAATAGGATATAAACAATGACTAACTATACATAAACTGCAATTGTAATGGGGAGAGGAGGTAATACAAAAATAAACATATAAGAACTGTAAGACACTAAAACTAGTAGGTATGATGTAGAAAACTAAGGCATGAGAGTGTGAACAGGTAGGAATTTTAGAGGATTCCCTGGAGATGCGGCATTATAGTTAAGATCTGGAGCTCTGTGTAAGATTTACTTAGGAAAAACAAAATTACCAATGCTAAAAAGAACCACTGCACAGTGCTTCCTGGTCAATCTATAGATGAAGAAATTGAGGGTCAGAGAGAGCCAGAGCCTAAGCTTTGCAGTGAATTCCTTAGTAATGCTAAGATAGATTAGGATGCAGTTGTCTAGATTCCTGCTGTCATGCCGGCATGGGATGTTGGAGGAGTCTCAGATTCCCCTCCAGAGACTAGAAAGACCAAAGAAGGACGAAGCTGGGTGACATGGGTGGGGGTTGGCAGACAGTGGCTGGTGACTGGTTGGCTAGAGGTTAGCAGGTTATCACAGTCCATTACCAAGTGAGGTGTCCTGCCTCTGTGTGCGGCCAGGCAGCCTTTCCAGAAGATTTATGTGCTGGAGGGTCATAAAGGATCCCAGAAGGTTGTAAAGACAAAGTCAGGAGTGGAGCTCTGGTTTAGATCCCACCCAAACTCCCTGAGCTCTGTGGGAAAGCCCAATAAAGCGGGATGCCTTTCCCTGTCCGCGGGCAAGATGGCGGCCCTGATGACTCACGCAGCATTCATCTGGGGCTCTGTGCTTCTGCTTGTCTGTCTGTCCTCTTTTAGCTTTTATCTAAAGAACCATCCTTTCATGTGAAAGGGAGAAAGTTACAGTCCAGGACCCAGCAGAACAGATAAGACCCGCCCCAGGGAGATCCCTTTTATCCCTTGACCAAGCTCTCCTGTGTTCCCTTGAGGGCCTCAAATTCTTGGAGGGCTGAGGGTGACAGCTCAGGGCAGGAACAGCCTCTATGCTAAAATCTTTGCAACTCCAGGAAGGTCGTTCAACCTCACGGGGCTTCCAGTTCCTATCATCAATAAAACAGGGAGGATACAGGGCATCCAGGGTACAGGGCAAAATTGAAAGCTTTTTAAAGCACAAAGTGCTGCCAACTCAGTATCTCAGGATGTCATGCATTTCTCTGCAATGCCACTGGTGCTACCTTGCCCCAGAACACAATATTATCCCTTCTGAATTGTTATTACAACAGCCTCTAGGGCCTTACTGCCTCCCTTTGGTCTTGACCTTCCTAGTCCTTACTTCCAACTGCAGTTAGAGGGATCTTTCTCCCTTAAAGAGCTGATAATATCACCCCCCCTGTCAAAAACACTCGAAAAAGCTTCCCATTACCCTCGGGAGATAATCCAAACTCTTTAACCCTACTTAAAGGGCAATCAGAACTGGCTCCTGCTAACCTCTCCCTTCTAATCTCTTACCACTCCTGCTGTCACACACTTTGCTGGACTGTAGGGAAATTCTTTAGTTCCTCTACACACAGTGCTCACCAAAGTGTAGAAGCAGTTCCCCTGGGGTGGGGGAAAGGGGTTTAGGTGGTACTCAGGGGGATCACAGACCCAGTGTTAAACAACAATAAATCACGCTGGGAAAAGCGGTGAGATTCCCTTTTTTCATTTGCTTCCCCTCCTCCAGATTATTTTAAAAAAGAAAGACTGGGTTTGCCACTGTGTCTTTAGTACTTTTCTAACACTTGCTAATCTCCCTTTTTAAAGGGAGAGCTTAGGCTCTGCTATATTGAACAACACTGGTTTCTGTTGCCTTCCATTGTATTGCACGTTTAGGCTTAATTTTCTGTTCAGGGTAGATGGTGCTCATTTCTTCTTTGCAAAATGATACAGTGTTTTCAAATATATTTTCAATAAGCAATGAATCTAAGAAAAAAATGTCCAATACATAGAGTGCATATTATATGGTGATATGGTAAATATCACAAAGGTGGCAGGCAAAAGATCACACTTTGACAGGAGAACCCTGTTCTAAAGTAACATTATCTCCTCTGAGCATTTCCAGGCTAATCCCTTTGTCCAGAACCTTCCAATTCTCCTTTCCCTTCACTTGCCTGACCCCTACTCACAGTTTCGATCTCAGAGTCTCGGCCTGCGGGACGCCTTCACGGGGTCACCTAGACCAAGTGTCTATGCCTTGCTTCCCCAGGCGGCCTATTCTTCACTATCCTGACACTCGTTATCCCCATTCTTTGCAACTGCTTGCATAATTACCTACAATAGTAAGCTATGTGCACGTAGAGACTGCTTCTACCTCCGCGACTGCATGGCCAACAACCGTCTGTAAGAGGTGCTACTAAGTAAGTGCTGAGTAAATGGAAGGACGAATGAATGTTGCTAGGTGCAAGCCACGAAATGCAGCCCCCACTTCATATCCTACTTTACAAAGCTTTAGAAGATAGCGACTGCATTCGAGTTTTGTTGAGCCCTCCATGGCACCTAAAATAGTGCTTTGGCATAGTTAACTACTGGTGGACAAAAATCATGACTTAGTATATACTGAATTTATGAATGTACTTAGTCATGATTACTAATATACTTATTCCAGAAAAAATGCAGGTTTCTTGTGGAAGAATGAGAAGAGCTCCAGATTAGGAGCCATGACCCTGTATTATTTGCATCTACAGCCTTGGTTTAGGACACACAGGCCTTCATCTCTAAAACTGAAGTTGGAAGGTGGGCAAGGAGAGTGGCTGATGGAAAGAGCACTGGTGTCTCTCCCTTATCTGACATTCCAGGAGTCCAAGAAGCTAAAATTCCATTCATGCTTCCTGCCCATTTTCCCATCACTAACTCTGACATGGCTAAGGTAACCACCACCCCTTACTGATTTGATAAAGCCCATTTTCACCTTATGGAAGAAAGGGTCCAGTCAAGTCAAGTAGAGGCAAGAAGAATTCACCGCTCTACTCATGCTTGCACACCCATACCTGGGCCCCAGTTCATCCTCACTCCTCCAGACAAAGTCGCCAAACTTCTCATAGTGAGAGTTGTAGTGATGCTGGACTCGGAACAGCATTGAGGCTGAGACCTCCATCAGCGTGTTGTAGGCGGTCTGCTGCTCCTTTCCACTTGTGTACCCATTGTACAGATTGTAGATCTTGTCAGCTATCTCTGAAGGGGAAGAAGCGCAGGGCACAGATCACTGGACAGTAAGAAAAGATGAGGATGGAAGCATGCCTTGCAATAAGAAAGGCATATTCACACCGAAGTTCACGTGTGTGGTCTTCAGGTCCAGACAAACTTAACCCCATCCTCCGTATGTCATTGACTAGTTGTGTACAGTTTCCTCGTCTATCAACTGGAGATAACAAGATCTACTCTGGAGGTACACGGGAAGGACTAAATTAAAAAGCAGACGGAACACACTCAACGCAGGGCCTGGCACAAAAGTGAGCTCTCATAGTTTGTAAGCTTGATTATCAACCTAATCGTGGTGCCCCTGATTTAACAGAAAATGCCGAATACGTGCAGAGGCTTCAATAAACTATCCTGGGTTCATCTCAACAGTCTACTTCTATTTCCCCCTGTAATATTCCCGACACATTTCTGGGATCAGGTCTTACAGGTCTCTAGTCAAAAATCTTTCAGAGAAAATCCAGACTCTTCTGCTTGCTATTCATGACAATTTCTACTTCTTCAATCACTCCAACCAGCTGGTGTGACTTAAATTCATCATGAGCCTCTCTCTTGAATAGAAGACAAATTTCTCATGTTTGATGACTGATCAAAATTTATGTATGTTTCCAAGTCATTGCTAACAATGGTTGCCTCTAGGAGAATCTGGTGGACTTGGGCTCAGAATGGGAGGATCACTTACTTTGCAGTATTTTCTACTCCGATGTTTATTTTTCTTATGTTTTTAACCATGTGCATGTGTTATTTTAAAATAATAATAATAAAAAATTACCAGGAAACCATCTCAAACCCCTCACCCTTGTCACTTAATAGCTCACTACCTCCTCTGATCCGGTAGCACACAACACATTTATTATCAAGCCTATTACTGAGCCATTTGCAGAAATCTCCCCCTCTCCCACTAGAACGTGAATTCCTAAAAGGGGAAGAACATGTCTCTCCTGTACTGCTTGTACCAAGGCTCTTAGAAAAGATTTGCTGAACTTGAATCAAACCACCAGGACTCATGAGCTACCATCACATTATTGTCAGTCCTGATGCAGAAACAGTGTTTATACACTGCCCAAGAAATAAGTATATGGTGGACCTGATGGATTGGTTCTATTTTTTCAGGTGTATTGCCTGATGTTTCCAACTTCATGGGCCAGGAGTAGCAAAAAGGTTGAATCATACATGCTAGTCACTGAAGACGGCTGAGGATTCTGAGGCCGCCCCTCAGCTAGATGGTAACGTGAGCTGTGGTCAGCTACTGATATCTGGCGATATCTGGCGCTGGCACAGCAACGTGAAGTGGTCTCCAAGGTGCCGCCAAGTGCCAGCTCTGGCATAGACAGAGATCAAAGTCAGTGATTGGCTAAAGGGCAGGCTGTAAATACGGTACTTTGACTCTCCACCCTTCCTCACCTTTAAGTCAGAGCATAGACAAATTCTATAAAGAGGAGCAAATCCTTCCAGTGGCAAAGACATTGCTGGTTAGCCTCAATTTCCTTTGTATTCTGATTTGATTGTTTCTCCTGTTCCCTTAGTTCCTTCACTTCTTCCCCCTGCACCAACACACATGTGCGGTGGGAAAGCAGCAGTGGTTAATGACTATTGGGTGCAGAACTTAGAGGAAATGTGGGAGTTACCTGGGAAGTGAAGACATGCATCACCTACCTTCGGCCTTGTTGTCATCCACCAGTGGGCAGGCCGTCCTCAGGGTCACCGTGCTGAGCTCCGAGTGCCTCCCTCGTGTATCCACAGCATACAGAGTGAACCTGGGGCACAGCAAGGAAACAGAGCACCAGGCTGTGACTTCAGAGAAAGCCCTGGATGTTGCATGGAGGAACACAAAATCAAAGCACAGGAATAATGGTTAAAATAACTCAGGATGTTTATGGTGCAGGAGAAATGATTTGGAAGAAAAGTATACAGGACTTATTGGGCACCAACTGCCTGCTGGGCACTTTGCACTTTATCTCTTAACTTGTAAGTAAAGAAGCCTAGAAGGTGAGGGTTATTATGACCTGCATTTCACCAGTGAGGAAACTGAGACTTAGATTTTGAGTCTTTCTGTGGTCTCACAGTTACAGGGGACAGAGCAGCCTGAGTCCACAGATTAAAAAGAGAACCCCAGTGGTATCTTGTGTGGCTAGATATACTCATTTACATATTCCTTCCTTCATTCATTCAACAAATACTTATAAACATTAACTATATTCCAGGAATTATTTTAGGTGCTAAGATTATGAAGAGGAACAAGAGAGTCAAGGCCCTTACCTGCATAAAGCTAATCAAAAAGTACAGAAGACATCAGATAATGGTGAATGTGAGAAAGTCTATAACAGAATAATGTGAAAAAAGACAAATGTGGAGGGGAATGCGGGTACTTCAGGCAGGTTTGTCCACAAGGGCCTGCCTGTAGAGAGGTCTGAGCTGAGAAGGAACTAGCTAATGGGAGGAAGACCTGGGGGAAGAACATTCCAGGCAGGGGAGCAAAATGTGCAAAGGCCCAGAGGAGAAAAGGATCCCAGATTGTTGGAGGAATAGGCAGCTGGTGCAGCTGTAGCCAAGTGAGATGAGGTAGAAGATTGGCGTGGACTGAGCGGGCCATGCTGGGAGGTCTGGGAGGTACTTTAGGCATAAGGCAGGGCCCTGCCTTTCCCTGTTGTCACTTGAGGCTCTACGCTGTACTGGGAGGAGCAGACAACCTGTGTGGCAGTAGAAGTGGAGAACTGGGATACCACAGACCTGATGGATTCTGGTCCAACCTGAGGCTCAGAATGTTTTCTGAGCTCAGTCAAGTACTGAGCTAAAGCACTCTGCTTCTTAAGAAGGCCCTCTGACCTTCACACCTCGAGATTTAAGTTCTGTGGTTTAAACAAAGTCTATGTAGCAGAGAAGACTTTCAAGAGGAGGTGAGCCTTGGAGGCCAGGAACAAACTGAATAGAAGTGTGAGACATCGAGTGTCCTGTCTCAGTCAAGTAGCCTCCTTCAGTAGCCTTCAGGGTAGAGGCAGCCGAATGGAGCGGGGAGAGGGCTTGCTGGGTCAAGTAGGAGAACTGAGGTCCAGGGCCCCTCTTTCCTTTCCTCCTTCCCCAACCCCTCACCTTAGCTCATGTTATAAAATGGATGTAACACGATGATTGACAAGTTGCAGAATGGTAAGCCTGGATTATCTGCACATACTAGTCACTTAATGAATAGGAGTTGGTTGTACAAAATTAATTACTATGTGCTAAGACCTTAATAGGTGTCAAGTACTGAGCTAAAGCAGGTTGACTTTCATTATCACTATTAATTCCCCCAAATGATCCTACAAAGATAGATACTGTTACTCTCTTTATTTCATACATGAGGCTCAGAGAGACGAAGCAGCTTGCCTAGGACCCCACAGGAATTACTGGGCCTGGCAAGTTACGCCTAGGTTTGTCTAACTCCAAAGCCCATACATGTAACCCAAAAGCTACCATCTTCTGGCCAAGGGCGTGGATTTCAACTCTGTACAAATATAATTCCACTAGGTACACTTGACCAACTCCAAGTATGTTGAGATGGTGACATCTCCTATGCTTTTCTAATCTTATGAAAACCTGCTAAAATAATCACCCTCATCATCTCCATCTTTCAGTAGAAGAAACTGAAAAAAAAAAAATTAGGCAATTTGTCCAAAGTTACCGAGTTAGAGAATGAAAGAGCCAAGACTCGTACATGCTTTGCCTTCCTCTAAAGCCTGTGCTTTGCTCTCAGCTGTCATTTTGCTGCTCCAGCAATACCACTCAGTAGCCTAGAGGGTCTGAACTTGGTGATCTACACAGGCTTAGTACCTCATGACTTCCCAGCTTTCATACTTCATGACCTCATGCCCCAAAGGTTGTCTTTACAAAAGGTACCATGAGTCAGAATGTCTTGGTACATGGGTCACAGTAAGAAGCTAGTATCTTTCTGGAGAGAAGGTCATTTGTTGTCTTTTGCGTGAAAATCTTCTGCATTCTGCATTCTTTGTTGCTATGGGACACTGCCGCTTGGCCCATGACAGGTGCATGGAGATACTTTCTAGCACAACTGGAAGGGGGCTTGTGTGGGGGGCCACAGAGGGATCAAGCCACCCAGAGCCCTTGTGGCATGATGTGAGGAAGCAGAGGGAGCAAGGAGCCTTGTAGCCAGTGGGCATCCATTCAAATCCTGGCTCTAGTGCCCACTAGCTGTATGGCCTCAGGCTGTACAGAACTTGATCTTTAGTCTCCTCATATGTGAAACAGGAGAAATAAGTCTCCCCTTGCAAAACTGTCAGTTCAGGTGCAGGGAGTTCTGCACACTGGCATGGCCATCATCTAATGAGTGCCCATAGGTACTGGGTCCTTTAGATGCATTATTCCAGTCACTCATACTGTATGAGTTGGGTACTAGGGTTGTTTGCATTTTACCAGTAAGGGCATTAGTTCCAAAAAAGGTCAACTAATTGACCTGTTATTACAAATCAAGTAAATAGCAACAGGAGACCAGGTCTGCTTGAATCCAAAGATTGTGTCCTTAACCACATTGCACTATACTATCTTATCAAACCTGTCTCAGCCTTTTATCTTTCATTACTAGCTTGGAGTGCTGGTAAGGGTAAAGGAATGTGGGCCTGTGTCTAAAATATAGGTCTTAAGAGGCCTACATATGGCGTATTTTGGTCTAATTTTCAGACAGTCCATTCATCTGCTTTCTGGGGCTTTTGGCTTCTACCTTTGGTGTGAGAATGACAGCACTGTCAAGTGGGCATTATCTCTCTCTCCTGTCATATCTCAGCACTGTGAGTGGAGCTCAGTTCTAGCACTTACTGCATCCAGTACTGTCTTGGTCAAGGGAAGCAGTGAGTGACAGAGGAAGGGGCCTGGTCTTGGAGGTGGCCAGGCCTGGGTCCACACTCTGTTCTACGGCCTTTCTCTGTGACCTCAGTCAAGTCACTTCACCTCTCTGTGTTTATTTTGCCTCTCTGCTCTGAGTATCTGTGAGAGGCAGGCAGCTTCCCACTTCACAGGTTGGTGTGGATGAATGTGAAATATACATGCTATACAAGGGGAGCTATGACTGGGAAGCCTTGCAGAGGGGCTTGGAAGCAAGATCAGAAAGAACATCCAGGATGTGAGAATAAGCAAGGAGCAAAGTAGGGAGGTAAGGACAGAACAGGGTAGCACTGGGTGAGCACTTCCTACCTAAACGACAGCCCACCTAGGAAGTGGCAGAGGCAGGATGCAACCCAGGCCTGCAGCCCCCAGAGCGTGCCTGCTGCAGCCGGGCTCCCTGGCACTTAACAGTGTTAGGTATATGGTAGGCACTCAGCAAATAGCTGAGTAAAGGAACGAACTTGAGCATATCACATCTCATTTTCCAATTTCAATTTCTGCATCAACAAAATGGAGATAATTGCAGAGACAGAACATGGCTGGCTCAAGGATTACACGGAGTGATACATGAGAAGTGGCTTGCAAGTTGCAGATTTTTATAAAAACCATATAAAGACCAAGGGAACAATTTAAAAAATGCTTTCTTGGAGCAGAAGAGGAAGAGATACATTTCAACTGAGGGAAACCGGAAGGCTGTAGTGACTGAGATATGTGAATGAGCCTCAAAACATGAGGAGTTGGAAAAATGTTTTAACACTGCTTTCCCATTGGCCACTTATGTTTCCATGGTGCTTCTGCGATACATTTCCTCCACCAAGGGGTTTGGGGGTCACCCCTCTGCTTAGCCCAGTCAGCATGAATAACAGCATGCTCAGAAGAAATAGTCTCAGGTTTTCAAGTTAAAAAAGCAGGGTAGAATCCTTGCTTTCCCCAGGTGCTGGCTGAGCTGTCTTTGGGAAGTCATTTCATCTCCTCTGAGCCTCACTCTCTGCACCTGTAAAATAGGCTGAAATTATCCATCTCTCAAAAGTTGGTGATCAGGACGCAATGATATATGATTGCAACAGGCCTGGTCCAATCACTGCTCCATAAAAGTAGCTTCTATTTGTGTTATTAGAATAACTGAACGTGTCAGGGAAGGCCTCAGCATGGAGGCTTCAGGCCACCCTGCCGGAGGGGGCGGACGGGTGGAGAAAGAGGAAGATGTCAACCTCACAGGCCTGGGTCAAAAGTCACGAGGCCATGCGCTTTCTGCCTGTCTCAGCTGTAATTGTAGAACTGTTCCAGAGACACATCTGAAAGCTGTTAGGGGAACAGGCAGGGCCTGGAGGGGCTCTTTGTGAGGGGAAGAAAGTGGCGGCCCCTGATGTGGAGAAGGAGGCGAGAAAGAGAGGGAGGCTGAGAAGCAGGCACGTGTGCACACCCACACAGTGTGAAAGGCAGGAGGGAGACGGAGGCGGCACAGCCGGGACTCGGTGTTTCTTAGGGGATCAAGAGGGCTGCCAGCTGCCCTCAGCTCCGCTCTTTCGCATTCTCTCTGCCTGTGGAGGCAGGCTGAGATCCACTGGTGATTTGAACTAGAACTGAGCCATCACCAAACTCCATATCCTCATGTGATATGTGGGGAAACTGAGGCTCAGAGAGGAAAGGCACCTGCACAAGGATCCACTAACAATGAGTCCAGAGTAAGGACACCGGCTTTCCTGGCTCCTCCTGCATTGCTCCTCCTATGCACCATCCTGATTCTTGTACAACTGGTTGTCGTAGGTCCAACTGCAGCTGTGAGAGACCTTTATCGTAAGAGGTGGCTCGGAGGATGAAGCACCATGGGATATTTAAGAACCTGGAGCTCCAGGCTCAAACCCTTGTCATTCCTTCCTTGGAC